TCTGCTCCAGACTCCACTTACTTATTCCCACCCACGTGGTGAATCCTGTGGAAGGTCCTAGAGCTGTTCCTGTCTTTTCCCTGCCTGCTCCTACCCAATGGGATCTTCCTCTGCCCTTGCTGAGACACCAGGAGGGAAGAGCTGGCTGCAAGAAAACCCTGTGGGCATTTTGGAAGGACCTTCCTCCCCACAAGGAGCTTTGCCAAAGGCTGGAAGCCGTTTGCTGTGGTTCCCAGCAGAGCATCCATGCCCTCCCGCAGCTGTCTGCGTGGTCCTGCCTTGCTCCTGGGTCACAGCGAATGGGGTGATGCAGACAAAGGAGCCTGGGTTGGAAGCCAGGTACCCGCTGCCATCCTCAGTGAGTGCTGGACAATGAGGTCCTGTGCTGCCAGCAGAGAAACCCCAACCCACAAAGCTTCCTCGTGGAACATCAGTGGAGCAATTATGTTAATGACTGTGAACGGGGCTAAACCCAATCTTGGATGGAAATGAGGGGCCGAATGAAGCGCCCAATTCATAGCCCGGCTCCCGCATCCAGGAATATTTCCAGTAAGCAAAAGCCTTGTCCTTGGGGCTGTCTCATCCCCCATTTGTGCTCGCTGGGACTCGGTTTCCACTCTGCTGGCTCCGGTGTCTCATCAAAATGCCTTCATAAATGGAGCAAACAAGGGCTGTATGGGGCAGGGAACCAGGCGATTAACACGATCCCAGTTCTTTGAGGGGCAGAGTTAATGAAGCATCCAGCGTTTTGTCATTCTTGCCTTTCTTTCCTGGGAAAATCCTATTAGTAGGAAATCACTTAATTGGGCACTTCAAAGAGCTGATGGGAAAACAGCCTCTGCCGGGCTGGAAACGCCGTGCAGCCGAACACTGGCTCCATTTAGGCTTCTGCTGGGGCGGGAGGGTTGCATTAAGAGCCCTCGCGTTTCCCGCTTAAAGGAAAAACGCTTGTTAGGAGAGATAATGAAAACCCCAAGCCCCGGGCGCGGAGGTTCGGGTCCTGCCGCAGCGGGATTTCACTGCCTGCGGCACGGGGCTCTGCTTCGGGGCTTTCCCTGCCCTCCACTCCCTGCCCATGGGCCTGAGCCCGGGGGTTTCACACCTGCCTCTGGGTGTTCCTGTGGGCAAAAGCTGTTCGAGGGCTGCAGGAGTCCCCCTGTGCCCCGGGAGAGGTGGGTGACAGCCGGGCAGGCCTCTGGGGTGTCGGTTCTGCAGCAGTGAACCCAAACCCCATGTGCTGGTCCCCACTCTTATTGCTCGGGGGGGTCCTGTGGTCCTTCCCCTGCTCCCAGGTTGGTTCCCTGGGTGGAAATCTAGGTTTTTGAGGAGTTTAAATGTACCCCATGCTGATAAATAGCAGCGTGCCCTGGGCTCCATCACCAGAGACATGAAGGATGCTTCACCTGCCTGACCCTTTCCAGTTTCCTCCCCCTGCACAGGTTGATCTATGAGGTACCCCCCAGAAAACACAAACTCTTCCCATACCCCTCTGACCACCAGATCTCTAACCCTTGCCACGGGGCAGGGCTGGGTAAGGAACCATGTGGATCCCTTCATTCCTGCAGCCAGCACTGACAAGCTGCCATTTGGGAAGACACTGCCGGGTCATTTCCTTTATTTATGAATGATTTTATAGTCAGCCTTTATAAAATCCTTACATGCGGGTATTTGTGTGCATTTAGAACAGCTGTATGGGCATGGGGTGGCCCTCAGTGTGTGATTCCCTCCAAACATGTCAAGAAGCTTCCTTGGAACAACATTTGCTTCAACGTTTCGTGGTCAGGATTACTGCATGTGGCTGCACAAAGCCACGTTTCCCCACTCTTCTCCATCCCATCAAAGCCTGAGACATTCAAATCCTGATTTCATAGAATCATGGAACGAACCAGGTTGGAAAAGCGCTTCAGTCTCATCCAGTCCAACCATCCCCAGCACTGCCAAGGCCACCCCTAACCCACGGCACTGAGGCCTCGTCTCCACGCTGTGTGAACACTTGCAGGGACGGTGACTGCAGCCCTGCCCTGGGCAGCCTGTTCCAATGCCTGAGCACCCTCTGGGGCAGGAATTGTTCCTCAGCTCCATCTAAACCTGCCCTGGGGCAGCTTGAGGCCGTTTCCTCTTGTCCCATCCCTTGTTCCTTGGGAGCAGAGCCCAGCCCCTCCTGGCTCCATCCTCCTCTCAGGCACTTGTAGGCAGCCATCAGGTCCCCCCTGAGCCTTCTCTTCTCCAGCCTGAACCCCCCAGGTCCCTCAGCCCTTCCCCATCACACTTGTGCTCCAGGCCCTGCACCAGCTCCGCTGCCCTCCTCCAAACCCAAACCCAACTCCAGCCATTCCCCAGCTCCATGCGGAAGCTCCCACCCACATCCCCACATCCTCTTGCTGAGGGGAGCTCCCTGCTGCTCCCCATGTCCCTGTGGTGAGGATGAAAGCTGGTGTCAGAGGTGATGTGCCCGGGCACGTTCCCCGGTGGAACGCTGAGGATGGGCTGAGTCACAGCCAACTCCCCACCATGAATAATCTGCACCATGTCTGCAGTGACTTCCTCCCCGCTCCGCATCTGAGGGTCCCACCTCGGGAGATCCCCCTGGGAAGGAAACGCTCCTGAGAGCTCCCCAGGCAAGGCTTGCCATTGTGGTGCTGGGAAGGAAGTTGCTTTGAAGGCTACAAAATACATTAATATATTCCTTTTGCTTCCAGGCATCGGGATGGGTTTTCCAAGCAAATTATAAGGATGGATTCTCCCACCACCACCTCCCTCCTGGTGAGGGCTTGGGACACCCCTTGGGGAGGGAGCCAGTGGGAGATGTGGAAGTTTCTACATTGCCACCATAGAGGCAGAGCACGGAACAGCCCATCTACCCGTGGCGCTGGTCCTGGTCCCCGGTCCTGATCCTCTGACCTCCTCCTCCTCTGTGTTGGACGTGATGAGTCACCCTGGTTATTTAAAGCTCCTGCACTGCCTGGTATTAATCACGCTTCTTTTCCCCACCTTTGCTTTTCCTGCTGATGCTGCTGCAGACCCCACCGCGGACTCCCTGACTCGGACCCTGGCTCCATCCTTTACCCACTTCCCATTTCCAGTAACTCATTTTGCACCGATGCTGGTCCGCAGCCAGAGCTCCCCAGCTCCGAGGAACAGGAGCAAGAGCTGAGTTTGCACCAACCAGAAACCTGCATCCCCCCATGCAGGGCACAGCGACGGGACCTTCACCTCCCCCCCCCCCCCCCCCCGAAATCACAGGAGAATCACAGAGCTGCTTCCCTAAGGGAAAACCTGCGCCCGATTTGTTTTCTCCCTGGTTTTCCCTGGAATGAGGCATCCCTGCGTAAGCCGGGATATTCCCATCACTGGGCTGGGCGGTTTGTGTCACGTCACTTCTCTTTTGGAGCCCTGCTCTTGCATCAGCGGGGCTGCGGTTGCACAATCGAGGCCGCTCCTCCCGCCACTTCGGGCGCCCATTTGAAAAGCTGCCGGGTCTGACAGCCCCATTCCCTTCTCCTTATTTGGGAAGGGGCCTTTATCCCACAGAAAGAGCTGCTTTAAGCGCTGAGCATCCTCTTAGCGAAAGCTGCTTCACCTGAGAGCCCCAGCTTGCAGCTAGAGGCTGCACTGACCATGGGGAGACGCCCACAGCACTGTGGATGTGGCCAGGGTGATGCTGGGTTTCCCGTTGGTGCCAGTCGCATCCTTCCGCACCCAGAGGGAGCGAAGCAGGGAGCTGCAGCGGGAGCAGCGCTGGGGGTTGGTGAGGGAATGATCCATCTCCGCGCAGCGCCACATCCAGCCCTCCGCAGTGCGGCTCCGAAAGCTGCTCCGTGAGACCAAGAGGAAAAATCGTTCCCTCGTGGAAACACCCCTGTGGGAAAGGGCTATTCCAGCTGGCCCCCTCCTCTCCCTGTGTGTTATGAATGGAAAACCAGGAGGGATGTGGGAGCATTTGGCTCCAGATCTCAGCTTTCCAGTATGGATCTTCTGCATTGTGTAATCCTCATCCAGGATGTTTTCACACTCCCCATCCTCCTTTCCCCTTTCCTTCACATCGCACCGTGCCATCCGGAGGCAGGGAGCAGCCACCCAAACACGAGTACCTTGGCCCAGCACCGTGAGCTGTGGCCAGCGATGGCAAACGCTGCTGCAGCACACGGCAACCTCCGGCCAGACATGTCCGAACGTGTCCTCCAGCTGCTGGCGCCGGTGGGAAGCTGCTGGTCCAGCTGGGAAGTGCTCGGGGGTGGGTGCATGCCAAGGGTCCTGCTCAGCGCCAGGGCTCCAGGGGCCTTTGAGGGCCCCTGGCACTCCCAAGGGACCACTTTAACCGGGTCTTTGTGCCCTGGAACGGAGCTGTCACTGCCGGTGCTCCACGGGAGCTCATTGTGCTTGCAGCCCTGTGGGGGGTGATGCCCGCGGTGCCCGGGCAGTTTATACCGGGCGGGGAGTGGGGCCAGGGCAGTGCCATGGGACAGGGGAGCATCATCCCGGGGTGAGCACCCAACGGGGCTGAGTCACCCCTTCCTTAATCCATTGTGCCCCTTCCCACAGGGACCCGGTGGCCAGGAAAGCCCGGGTGGGGGAATGCCCCCTCCTCCGGCCAGATAAAGTGCTGCTTTGTTCCTGGGGGCACCCCTGTACCTCTTGATGGGGGGGTCCCTGTATCCTCTAAGGGGCAGATCCCTCCATCTCCTGATGTGAGGGTCGCTGCAACCTCTAGGAAGGGACTCCCTGTATCCCCCGACGGGGGAGGTCCCTGCACCCCGTCCTAGGAAGGGGGTCCCTGTATCCCCTGCTGTCCTTTCATTCCCCTCGGAAGGGCTTCCCTGCACTCCCTGATGGGGGGATCTCTGCACCCGCCCCGGGAAGGGTTTCCTGTACCTCCTAACGGGGGATCCCTGTATCCCCTGGTGCAGGGTCCCTGACTCCCCGGTGAGGGGGGTCCCGCCGCTCCCCTCTCCCCACTTTCGCCCCCCCCCGCCAAGAACGGGAGCCGGGGCTCGGGGGCAGGGACCGGCCGGGGCGGGGCAGGCCCGGTGGGAGCGGGGAGCAGCGGCGAGGCCCCGCCCCGCGGCCGGTATAAAAAACGGGCGGAGAGCACCGGCGGCCGGGAGACGCGACGCGACGGTGAGTGCGGCGGGGCGGGGGCAGCCGCGGCTCCGCGCCTTCCGTGCCCGCTGGCGGGGCGGTGTCACCGGGGGTGCCGCCGGCCCGGGGCTGCGGAGCGGGGGAAGCGCGGAGCGGGGGAAGCGGGGAGCGGGCGGCGGCGGCTTCGCTCCGGTGGCCTCGTCCGTGGCGCTGCGGAGGGAGCGGGGCCGGGGCCGCGGTGTGGGGGTACCCGGGCGCGGTGCGGGAGCCCCGGGCCGTGCTCGCCCCCTGGCGGCGCGGGCGCGGAGCATCCCCTGTGGCTGCGCGGGGCTCCGGAGCCGCCGAGGGCCCCCCGCGGGCTCCTCGGTGCCACGAGAGAGCCGTTCTCGACGCCTGTCGCCGGGTCACGGCGGCTGCGGGCGCGGGGCTGCAGCTCCTCCTGCACCCAGCCCTTCCCCGACTGGTGTAACTGGTCCTGGGTGCTGCAGGTGCCTGCGGGGTGGTGATGGTCCACCCTGGGTGTGCCCTCATCGGGGCGAGGCTCCCGCACAGCCCTGCACCTGCACCACCTCCGTGATGGAGCCTTGGGGCTCTCGGATGAGCTCTGGGAGCCTCGCAGCTCTGCAGAGGCTGCTGCAAGTGATGCCGGCCCATGGAGGGGACGGTGACCAGGGTCTGCTCCTTCCCTTCTGGTGGCCCCGGCGATCTGCATCCATGAGTTGGGGTGAAGCTGTTGTCTTGAGGCTCCAGGTGGCGTCTGAGGAGATTGGTGCCTGACAAGGCCAGGGAGGGCTACGGGGTGCCTGGTCAGGGTGTCAAAGCCCATCCCCTGCCTGCTCTTTGCCGGGGCTTGCCTGGACATGCTGAGACTTGCCCCGCAGTGAGGTCACCCTGCTTGTGCTCTGCCTGCCACCACGTAGGAAGCTGGATTTCTATTTTTACCCACGGTGCTCTGTCTGGGTGGGGAGCGGGGCCGGGTGCCCACAGGGATGGATGTAGGGCACCTCCTGCCCCGGGCTGGAGGCTCTCCGGTGCCCACTGGCATGTCTGGGAATGGGGGGCCTGAGTTAGGGCAGAATCCTTCCTGCAGGAGGCTGAGCCCCCATCCCTGGGTGTGTTTGGGGCTGGGAGCAAGTCTGGGAGTCTGGTGTGGCCCTGGGTTGGGCGGGCCATAAGGAAGGTGGTCTTGCATGCGGTTGTTCTTGAATCTGGTTTTAAGGCACAGATTGGTTTATATTAGAAGGGACCTTAAAGCTCCTCCAGCTCCAACCCCTGCCACGGGCAGGGACCCCTTCCATAGAGCAGCTTGCTCCAAGCCCCCGTGTCCAACCTGGCCTTGAACACTGCCAGGGATGGGGCAGCCACAGCTTCTCTGGGCACCCTGTGCCAGATTCAATGCTGGTCAAGCCTTAGCTCCAAAAGCCACCCCAGCCCAGAGCATTGCTTGCTCTGCTCTGTGACAAGGCTCCTCATGGCAGCGGGTGGTTTGGGAGAAGGCTCTGCCACTCGCTGCCCCAGGATCAAGGCTTTTGGCACCGATCTGAAGCAAAACAAAACCAAACACAAGCAGGGTTGTGTCTCTGGTTACCCAACAGCTTCTTGCAGATTAGGAGGGTGGTTAACAGTGGTCAAGCTTGTGGCATGTTCCTGCAGTTGCTCAAAAGGCTCCCTTGCCACGGAGCCTGGGTTCTGGAGGTGAAGAAATGGGTTAGAAAACCATCCTGTTGCTTCACTTGCCCATGTGCCAACTCGCTTTGTGCCTGTGTGGAAGGGGAATGAAGCAGGTTGTGATGGAACCAGTGGCAGCCTCGATGCTGGATGCTCTGCCCTGGGAGGGCTTTACCTGCCGGAGGAGGAACCGTTGCCGTGTGCCCCTTCCCCATCCTTGCATCCCCAGCAGCATTCCTTGGATGACGGGCTTGATGATTTTAAGGGTCTTTTCCAGCCTGGTTTGATTCTGCACCAGGCTGTGTTTGACCTTGGTCATGCTCAAGCCTCTGAGATGCCACCAAAACCCCAGAGGAGCCCTGGGCAGGTGGGGGTTCTCTCCACGCTGCCTCAGTGCAGAGCCCAGCCCTGGTTGTCCCACCTTGCTTACGGCGTGCACTGCTCTGGTGGAGCACGTGCTGGCCCTCGGGCTTGCTCGTGGCGTGTCCAGCACCCCAGTAACTTGCTCTGTTCCCTCCCAGCCACCACGATGCCCCTGTCTCAGAGCAAGGCCGGGCAGATGCCATGCAACAGCAAGGTCTGCAGGAACCTCTTTGGCCCCGTGGACCACCAGCAGCTCCAGCACGACTTGGAGAGCCTGTTGAAGCAGAACCTGGAAGAAGCTCAGCAGCGCTGGAACTTTGACTTCGAGACGGAGACTCCCTTGGAAGGACGCTTCGAGTGGGAGAGGGTCTTCCTGCCTGAGGAGCAGCCCCAGGAGCTCCACAGCCTGGTCAGGGCCACCAGCAGCAAGAGCAGGAGCTCCTTGGTCCCCTCCAACGAGCACCTTGGCAGGATTTGCCCCGAGGGATCCCAGCAGAGCTCGGGGGTTTACAGGGCTGGTGCCCCGCGGAGCTTGAAGCGTGGGCAGGCCACCATCAAAGGTGAGCGCTGGAGGCGGGGGCACCCTGGGGTTGTGGCTGCGGTAGGGACAGATGGAGGGAGCTTGGATGCAGGAGCCCTGCCTGGCTCCTGGCCATGGGAAGGGAGCACCTTCCGCTCCGCTCTCCTGGGCGAGCAGAGCCTATCTTGCGGGGGAAAGGCTGCAGACTGGGTGTCTTTTGGATGCTGGGGGTTAGGCAGGGCCCTTATTTTGTGCTTGTGGGGTTTATAACTGAGGTGCCCCAAAATAGTTGTTCACCTTCAGCTGCCATGGCCTGATCCTGTCCTGTAAGATCAGGGCCTGGAGTGGAAACGCAGGTGAGACCAAGCAGAGGGTGGCCAACTCTTTTCTTCAGGGTCTCTGGGGGTGGCTGTAAGATGGAGCCCACCTGGGCTGGGTGTTGGGGAGCCTCCCTGGGAGCACCTCCCTCTTCCTGCCCCATAGCTTCCAACAGGCTGGAGGCACTTCCCAACCCTCTCTTTCTGCCCTCTAGACTTCTACAGCTCCAAGCGAAGGATCATCCCTGAGAAGCCCAAGCCATGACATGGTGCTCTTCTCCTCTGCCATCGGGGACGGCTGCTGATGTTCCCTGGGGGTGTCCATGGCTCTTCCCCCCCCCTCTGTACTGTGTAAGCTGTCTATGAAGCAATGTAGAGTCTGTAGTTCCCTATTTATGAGTAGTCTGGGGTCCTGAGGGACCTTCACTGTGTGCAATGTATGAGTAGCCCATGTTGTGGCTTGTAGCTACAGCAGAGGGGATGGAGGAGAGCTGAAAGGGGCCTGATGGCACTAAGGCATTACCCTGCCTGCAGAGAAGAAAGTGTGTCCTTTGCCCAGCGTTGGTGGGACCAAGCATCATCCTTGCACCCCTTTCCTGTCCAGCCGTGGTCCTCCTCCTGCCCGATGGCTGGCCATGGGGGACACTTGTGTCCCAGCCACTTGGTGGCATCAGGTGTCCTTAAGAAAGGGTCCCTGATGTAGATTGCAGAGCTCTGGGACAGCCTGGCCAGAGGACACCCCAGTTGCTGGTACATGGTGGGTGACCCTCTCCCCAGCAGGATGGACCCAGCAGTGTCAAGCCCTTGTCCATGTGTGTAAGTGATGTAGGGGCTGCCTGGGAGAGGAAACGCTGCTCCCTGGACAGCCCTTCCTTGGGGTGTCTCACCGGTGGTGTCACCCCTCAGACAGGCTGCAGATGGTGACAGAGCCGCTGGAGGTCCCCAGTGCTGCGCTCATTGCAGGACCAACGCTGCCTGTGGGAGGCTTTGGGGTCCCCTGGATGCTGCTGAGCCAAGCCTCCCTTTCCTGTCCTTGCCTTGTTGAGTGGGGCTGCTTGCCCTTGTGTCCCTGCCTCTTTCAACACTGACACTGGGCTGGGGAGCTCCTGTTTCCTGCTGTTGGCTTGCTCTAGGACGGTAGTCCTGCTCCCCAGCAGGGATGATACTGAAAGAAGAAATTGTAGCTTTTTTTTTTGCCTGTTTTCCTGGACTTTTTCCTCCTTTGGGGCTGGGGCGGGGAGAAGACCCTCACCTGGCTCTGCAGAGCGAGTGGCTTCGGCCACCTCTGGGACCAAGGGATGTCTTGGAGCGAGGGCTGCTCTGTCCCAGCGCCGAAGGGTCAGTCCCTGCTCTGGAGGGACTCGACACTGTCAGGTCTCAGCACTTTCACAGCGTTCATCTCCTGCTCTGCTGGATTTGGACTCTGGAAACCGGTGCAAGATGGTTCCGGGTAGAAAAGGGCCAGGGTCAACCTCCCGCCTTGCACCACGATGCACTTTGCTGTCAGTGAAGCTGGCGAGCTCCCGGCACTAAATGTTTATTTATATAAAAAAGGCTATTAACTATGTGGGGGAAGGGGAAATACCTGTTTGACTCCAAATGTTAACTCTGAATAAACACTCGCCTCGTGTATGGGAACTGGTGTCTCTGGTTGATGGGAATGACTGTGCTGGTAATGGGGTGGCTGCAGCCAGCATGGGAAGGGGCTGTTGCAGCCCTGGGTGCCTCCTGCAGCATGAAGGGTCAGAGCAGGGGGATGAGGAGCTGTGCGAGGGCTGAGGGGGTAAAACCTCCCCACAACCCCTGCGCTTAACCCTGCTCCTGATGCTGCCACCATGTACCCAGGAGCAGCCACTGCTGCTTGTGTGGGGTCTCACTGTGGGAATGCAGGCTCCTCTGCTGCCTTCGTTGTTCCCTTTCCCTGCCCTGACACTGGATTTCTGCTCCCAGCCCTCAGGGCACTGTCTTATGGGGCAAATGGCCATTAGCCATGGGCAAGCTGGTCACATCCTCCTCTAAAGGGGTCCTGGGTGCCCAGGCCAGTGAGTGACCTGTGCTGTGGGACCTGGACAAGCAGGAGCAGGTGGAGGCACTGCAGATAACACACAACAGTGAGCCCTGCGTGGGGCTGAAATTTGCTGCTGGGGCTGGGATTCTCTGGGAGATGGATGCCTCCACCATCAGCTGCTTCTTCCAAGGGCTGAGCAAGACTTGTACGTGGGCTGTGAGATTAAGTTAGGGTTAATGTGAGAAATCCCTGACTGGTTTGGGTTGAAAAGGACCAACCCAAAGGATCATCCAGTTCCAAGCCCCTGCCATGGGCAGGGACACCTTCCACTAGAGCATTGCCCACTGCTCGCCCCTGTCCTACAGGGTGGATGTGGGACCTCAGAGCAAGGTGCAGGATAGGAGCGGGGCGGAGACTTCTCAGTCGCCCTGTGCCGGTGGCTGAGCAATCCCGGCTGCCCCTGAAGCTGCTGGCAGGGCGATGCAGGCAGGGTCCTGCCTGGGTCAGGCAGTGAAGGCCGGGTGCGTACCCAGCACAATCCCATCCCTGCATGTTGGCAGGTCCCTGCATGCAGCAGAAGGCACCGCTGCGGGTCAGGGAGGGACAGACAGGACAGGCAAGCCCAGCTGAGTGACACTGAGGCAGTGGCAGGGATGCTGTGTCCTGCAATCATAGAATGGGTTGGGTTGAAGGGACCTTAAAGCTCCTCCAGCTCCAACCCCTGCCACGGGCAGGGACCCCTTCCATAGAGCAGCTTGCTCCAAGCCCCTGTGTCCAACCTGGCCTTGAACACTGCCAGGGATGGGGCAGCCACAGCTTCTCTGGGCACCCTGTGCCAGCGCCTCAGCACCCTCACAGGGAAGAGCTTCTGCCTTAGATCCAACCTGAACTTCCCCTGTTTCAGTCTGAACCCATCACCCCGTGTCCTATCACTGCAGTCCCTGATGAAGAGTCCCTCTCCAGCATCCTTGGAGCCCCCTTCAGATACTGGAAGCTGCTCTGAGGTCTCCACGCAGCTTCTCCAGGCTGAACAGCCCCAATGTTCTCAGCCTGTCTTCATACAGGAGGTGCTCCAGGCCCATAAATGCCCTCATTTGCAGAGGATCCAGGGGAATACAAAGGTTTGATGGTAACAACCTTGTGCATTGTTCAACTGAGGATCCCTCAAGCTTCTGCACTTGTGTTGGGTGATCCCGCACATGCCAGTGCCCCTTGAGATGCTTGCAGAGCACGATCATGCAGCCTTTTAGCTGCTGCTGAGTCAAGCCCTCCGGATTTAGCCCTTTTAATCTCTTCCCCTTACGTCAGCCCCCTCTGCTGTCACCTCCTGTCTGTCAGAGCGGTGGTGATGGAGGAAGTGACAAATAAATCAGCAAATACCCCCTTTGTCCCTGTGTGTGGGGCTCTGAGCGCAGCCCAGGTCTGGCTCTGCTGTGCAGGAGGGAGCTTGGCATCTAGGTTTGGAGTTTGCACCCACATGGGAGACTCCAGCCCTGCACAGCCTCTCCCATTGGGGAGGACTGTGTGTGTGCCCAGCTCTGGGGACACAAAGTGGTGATGGGCTTCCTGCAGCTGGGCAATGGATGGAAACCTTGCACTTCCAGGTTGGGTTTTGCTGCCCTCCCATCCCAGCCGCAGCACGGAGCAAGGATGCTGGGGTTCACACGGTGGGGCTGAGAGGAGGGTCCGGTTCTTCTCCTCCTTTCCCCATTATATCCAATCCCAGGACCTGCCTGGCTTCTCCCTGGGGCTGGAAAGGGCTCTTGGCACTGCAGAGCTGGGTATACCCAGGAGGAGCAGCAGCACCTAAGCTGCTTCCTCAGGTGGAAGAGCAGCAGAGCAGGGCTGGGCTGTGGCTGGGGATGCGATGGGGCAGGGCACTGGTGCAGCCGGTTCCCAGCAAGGGATTGAACCAGTTTAGATGGGGAGAGACAGGCACCTCCTGCTCTGGGAGCTCAGCCCTGTGCTGGGAGCTCGGGGCTTAGCTCTGGTTATAACCTAAAGTTATTGTTGGATTTCCCCTTGTTGGGATCTTTTCCCCATTTTTGCAGTTAAAGGAGAGCAAAAATGTTCATACCCCGCCTAATTCCGCTGTGCCCCTGCAAACCAGAGTGGGTGCAAGCCATGGGCAGTCAGTGGGTTCGGTGCTGGCTTTAAAGCCCAGTTAATGATTCCAACAGGAGCCTTGGAAAACCCACCAGTGTGAGCAGCACAGTGGGATGAGCTCCAAACCCTGGGGCTCAAGAGCCTCTGTGGGTTGTGGTGTGTGCAGGTTTGTCCTGTAGGTGGGATGCTGTATATGTGGGTTATAGACAGTCCTGTAGTTTGGGTTATTCAGCCTCTTAAAATACCACTTGCTACTTCTCTGCTGCTTTTCCCCTGCCCCAGACACCCTCCAGACCACTGGGAGCAAGGAAAGGATGGGGATGTCTGCTGGGATTCCTGGTGATGCCAGTGGCACCTTTGCAGAGCTGCTTTGGGATCTGGGGGGCTTGGGGGGCTGGTGACCCTCCGGATGGGCCCTTCCTGCACCCTGCTTGCAATGCAGCAAACAGGAAACGTGGGAGCACCGGCAGTTGAGTGTAACCCAGAGCGGAAAGTGCCTTGAGTAAGAGCAAGAGAGCACAGGAGCAGCATCCCCCGGCCCCGGGCGCTTCGCTGCCCCGGGCACCCCGAAACTGAGGGTCCCTCTCGGCCAGAGGGGAAGGTGAGATTTGGTGCCCAGGGAGGGCTCCTGCAGCACCTCGAGAACAAGAAAAGCAAGGAAAGGAAGGGGTTTTCTCGCTGTTGGTGAGCTGGGGCGGGGGGGGGGGGGGCTGCTTCTTGCTGCCTGTGGGGGGACCGTGGCTGATGGGCCTCTGCTGAAGGCTGGGAGCAGCGTTCCGGACAGGATCAGGTCCCTGGGAGCCGGTGATGCCACGGGCTGGGGGATGCGCGGCTCCCATCGCACCCACGCTGCTTGTTCTGTGCCTCTGCTGGGGCTGCGCTGGGTTGGAGCAGGTAACGGGGGGATTCTTCATGCCTTAAACAACCCCAGCGCCCCCCCGAGCTCCCACTTCTGTTGTCTTAGTGGCTGGCACCACCATAAAGGCACATGGTTTCTGTTCACCCCCTCTCCCCCCCCCAAGCATCCTGTAGGACTCCAGCAGCTCCACAAAGCCCTCTTGATTTAAGGGGATGTTTTGGGGGCCTCTTCCTGTATTTCCAATGCAGGCTGGGATTTAGCACAGGGCTGGAGCAGCCGGGGTCTCTCCAGGCTGGGAGCAGAAAGTGGGGCTGCAGCATGGCCCCCTCTGCGTCACAGCTCCCCATAGCTGTGGGCTCCTTCCCTTGGGTTTTGGCTTTGCCATGCAGAGAACAGCCCCTCATGGGCCCAGTGGCTGTTGGTGCCGCTGCCATCACCCAGGCTTCCTGAAGGCCTCCCCAGCTCTCACACAGCTCCCGAGGTACTCCCGGCTCTGAAAGCTGGGGGAGGATGATCAAAAGCTGCTGCTGGGCTCTGGGACCAGCCCCTTCTGCCCAGCATCGCTGTGGCTGCTCCTTTGCCAGTGCCACCTCCTGGGTTTCCCCTGGGTGCCGGTGCCCTGCGCATCCTCCATGGGAGGTGTGGGATGGGTGGTGGCAGGAGGAGGTGCTCACCCAGTGGGTGCTGGGCTCGCAGCCGTTGCTCGATCTGGTCAAGGCTGCGCTGCTCTTCCTATTGCCAAACCCAGGGCCCTTTACAGCAGCCAAAGCGCGTTTCCAGCTCAATCCCACTCCACCATCTCCCACCAAGGGCTCCAGCAAGGAGGAGCTGGCCAAGGGTCGACAACCATCAGTGTCCCCTGGACAGGACTGAGCTGGGGGCCATGGCCGAGCGCCGGGCAGGCACCAAGAGCCGGCGCTTGGGCTCCAGCCGACGCAAGGGCTTTGGTGAGGCACCCGCAGCAGCCCCCAGCCCCGGCAAGGAGCCATCATGGGCAGCTGAAATAGTGCAGAGGGTGCAGGAGCTCCTCAGGGAGCAGGACAAGGACCAGGAGGGGTTCGTCACCCGCTCGGCCATACAGGTAAGGGATGGGGATGTCTCCTCGGGTCAGATGCTGCTGGGGTGGGTGGAGAATGGGTGATGGGAGCGGTGTTCCCCTGCTTTGCTCTGTTCTTAGAGATTACAGGAGGAAGATCTCCCATGCAGCACGGAGGAGTTGGAGCTCGTCTTCAATGGGCTGGATGCAGCCGGCGCCGGGCGGTTGAGAACTGAGGAATTCACTTTTGGACTCTGTAAGTGCCGGCACGACGCCTCCAAGCTGATCCTGGACATGGCCCTAGTGCTTTCCCAGGGGATATCTGAAACACCGCCCTTGCTGGGTGGCAGAGGATGGCCTAAAAGTTGTCCCCACGTCCGGGTCTCATCCCATGGCTCCACTGGTGAGAGGTCCTCTTGTGCCAGAATGGATTCATCGAAGCCATGGGGTGGGAAGTGTTGTTTGGGCCTTTGCTGTCACCCTGGCCTGGCACTGAGTGTTTGGGGTCTCTGTTGACAGGGCAGTTCCTGAGCTCCCAGAAGGCTGCCAGGGACCATCGCCGGCAGAAAACAGCATCGCGGAGGATCCCCTTGGTCCTTCCCAGCCCGGCGCTGGAGGAGGTGGACAGTGAGGAGCAGAGGCAGTTCTCTGCCTTTATGGACCAGTTGGGCACGGACAACATCTCTGAGGAGTAAGCCGCCCTGATTAGCACCCATGGGTGTCCTGTTGGATGGGGTAGACAGGGAAAGGCTTGGGCAGGAGTGAGGGAGTGAGCCCAGAAATGACTTGGAGCTGCCTTTGGCCCCAGGACAGGATCATGCTCACCCCCGTGCTCACCTGTCCCCCAGGACCATGCATCCTTAACAGTGTGAGCTAAATCTTTGAATGAGCCAGGTTAGAAAAGCCCTTTAAGCTCATCCAGTGCAACCATTCCCAGCACTGCCAAGGCCACCCCTAACCCATGGCACTGAGGCCTCGTCTCCACGCTGTGTGAACACTTGCAGGGACGGTGACTGCAGCCCTGCCCTGGGCAGCCTGTTCCAATGCCTGAGCACCCTCTGGGGCAGGAATTGTTCCTCAGCTCCATCTAAACCTGCCCTGGGGCAGCTTGAGGCCGTTTCCTCTTGTCCCATCCCTTGTTCCTTGGGAGCAGAGCCCAGCCCCTCCTGGCTCCATCCTCCTCTCAGGCACTTGTAGGCAGCCATCAGGTCCCCCCTGAGCCTTCTCTTCTCCAGCCTGAACCCCCCAGGTCCCTCAGCCCTTCCCCATCACACTTGTGCTCCAGGCCCTGCACCAGCTCCGCTGCCCTTCTCTGGCCCCTCTCCAGCACCTCAATGTCTCTCCTGCAGTGAGGGGCCCAGAGCTGAACACGGGATTTGAGGTGCGGCCTCACCAGTGCCCAGTGCAGGGGGACTCAGTACCCCACATGGTGCCCCAGGGCCCCATAGCTGGCCTGCTTTGGGAGGGGGTTGAGGCAGTTTCACACAGAGCACCTCCCTGCAGACAGGAGATCTGGGAGCTCTGGCGGAAGCTCCGGCAGGATGAATCCCAGCTCCTGGACACTCAGGAGGACTTTGTGGCCAAGGTGAGGCACCGCATCCAGGAAGTGAGGAACAAGAAGGAGGCTTTGGAGGAGACCCTGAACAAGTGAGTCAGCCCTGGGCAGTGGAGAGGGGTGGGACGGGAAGGATGGGGCCACCCAAGGAGGGAGAAACCTGGGTGTTCCCAGCAACTCCATCAGCAGCTGGAGCAGAGGCTTCGCAGGGAGCTGCCTTTTGGGGTCGGGCTCCCCCTGCAGTCCCACATGGGATGGCCAAAGCGCTGGGATCAGGCTGCGGGGCACATCCTTGCTGGGAGAACCCCTCCCGGCAAACCCTGCTGCAGCCCGCGGGCAGCGTGGGGGCCTGCACCCGCAGCAGCAGGGTCTGATCGCCCAGCCCTTGGCCTCGCTGTCCCCGGCAGACGCGTGGCCGAGCACGGCAGGGAGGTGCAGCGGCTCTGCGGGGCTCTGGAGCAGCGGATCCAGGTGGAGCAGCAGCGGCTGGAGCAGGAGGTGGGTCCCGGCTGCTCCGCTCCCCTCACTGCCGGCCCCAGGAGGGGCCCAGCACCCCCCTGGCAGCTCCCGGGCGGGTCAATGGGTGCTGATGTCCCTGCTGCCGACCCAGAGCGTGGCCCCGAGCCCCCAGCGTGCGGCGGAGCTCCAGCGAATGCTGGATGCCGGTGAGAAGGAGGTGCAGCGCCTGGTCACAGCGCAGCTGGAGGTGAGCTGGCCCCAGCTCCCGGTCCCCCTTCCTGCATGCGGGGTCTCTGCGCTGGGCTGTAGCAGCAGCACTGTGCAATAGAGCTGAGCCCAGGCTGTGCCCATCAGCTCCTGATGTAGTTGTCACACCCCTATCCCCACTCTCCTCTCCATCCCCAAAGGACCCGGGCTGGGTTTCCCCGCCACGGCCCCAGGTCTAGAGGAGCTGGGTGTCCGTCAGTTCCCTTTCTGCGCGGGGGTCCTGGCAGGTCTCAGTGTCCTTGTTGCCATCCCACAGCTGGAGACACGGTGCCACAGCCTCCGCAGCATGCAGGAAGCTGCCAGCACCGAGAACCGGCAGCTTGAGGAGAGCAAGCGGGCGCTGGAGCAGCACCTTCAGCACCTCCACCAGCAGCTCCAGCAGACCCACGGGCGCCTGCGGGCAGTGAGGGCTGCGGTGGCTTGGGAGCACGTGGAGGAGCCGGGGTGAGTGGCTGAGTGACCATCATATCCCTGTGCACACACGTGGTTTCCTCCTGGGGTTAAGGCTGTTTGATGGGTCTGAGGCTTCACAGGGCTTTAGTGGTCTCCACAGTGCAGAGTAGAATCACAGCATCATAGAATCAGCTAGGTTTGAATAGACTTTTAGGATCAAGTCCAGCTGTTCCCCAGGCCACCACTAAATCATGTCACTGAGGGCCTCATCTATGTGGTCTGTGAATACTTAACCATGGCTTGGTGCAAAAAGCATCAGTAAAAAGCCAGGTCTGTCAACACCATGTCTCTTTGAGGGCAGTGCCTGCAGAGATGGGGATGTCCCTACTCAGAAAGACCTAACCAGCACTGATCCAAAAGATGTCCTGCTCCAGCCCACCACTGCTTGTGGGGCTGAGGACAGCCTGGGGCAGGGGTGGATGTGGTGGAGAGGATGCAACTGCCATTTTGACCACTGTGCTCTGTGTTTGCAGGGGCAGAGCAGTGGCAGAGCTGCCCAGCGAGACACCCGTGTCCCCAAAGGTACTTCAGCTGGAATATGGGGTCTTCAGTGGGGATGGGATGAGGTGTCCATGCTCCACAGCATTGTGATGTTTGGTTTGGGACCATTGGGAAGCCCAAGAGCACAGGGTGCTTCTGCAGCAGGGGCAGTGCCTCCCCTAAAAGCTTTCTCACTGGATCAATATGGTGCCATAGAGATGTGTGGGAAGGGGGGGGGGGGGGAAGCACCCCCAAGATTTCTTGTGGGTACATCTCGATACCTGCTGGAGAGCCCAGCTTTGTTTCAGGTGGGTTCACCCCCTCATCAAGCATTTTCCTCTCTTCTTCCCACCTTGCTTACTGCAGATGGGTCGGGAGCAGAGCAAGAAGTACCGCTCCAAGACGCAGACGAGGGTGGGGTCCCAGAGCAGCGAGCCCAAAGCCAAGAGCACCCACCAAGTGTAAGGGGTCCTGGGTAACACCTGCTGCTTCAGCTTGTGCCCCCGAGGTCTGCAAGTCCTCCTCCTGCCCCAGGCAAACACCATGTTTAGTCCTTTCAGGGCTCCTTTCCCTCCCACCCATCTGGAGATCAGGACCCTTCACAGAATCCCAGACTGATTTGTGTTGAAGGGACCTTAAAGCTCCTCCAGCTCCAACCCCTGCCACGGGCAGGGACCCCTTCCATAGAGCAGCTTGCTCCAAGCCCCTGTGTCCAACCTGGCCTTGAACACTGCCAGGGATGGGGCAGCCACAGCTTCTCTGGGCACCCTGTGCCAGCGCCTCAGCACCCTCACAGGGAAGAGCTTCTGCCTAAGAGCTCATCTCAGTCTCCCCTCGGGCAGGTTAAAGCCATTCCCCTTGGCCTGTCCCTACATCCCTTGTCCCAAGCCCCTCTCCAGCTTTCCTGCAGCCCCTTCAGGCACTGGAGCTGCTCTCAGGTCTCCCCTTCAGGAGCCTTTTCCCCAGGCTGACCCAGAGCTGCTCCAGCCCTCGCAGCATCAAGCGAGCTAACCCCAGCTTCACCCTGCATCACCCCATTGGCTCAGGCACTTGCTGTATCTGGCTGAACGTTTCCTTTTCACCTCAGTAATGTGAACATGGAGCCTGCGAAGGGACACGCTCACATCCCAGCCAGGACATGGCCATGGATTTGGCTCCCTGAGTGGGCATCCCCCTTTCCCCTGTCACCTTCACTGCCTGTGCAAGCCTCCAGTATCCCCAGAGGGTCAATAAAACCGGGTCTGGAGAGGGATGGGGTGAGGTGGCAGAGCAGAGACCCCCTGGTACTGGCCCAGGAGGATGAGAGCGAGCTGGGGGCTGAGCTGACCGTCCCCATTTTCTGCCCTTTCCAGGGTTTGGGAAATGCTGCCTGCAGAAGTAAGCCTTTTGGGAGCCCCGCAGGGAGCGAGCTCTGTGGAAGAGGACCCCTGCCCAGAATCTCTGAAAGAGGAATGGTTCTCTGTCCAGAGCTCTTTGCTAAGAGAGGTGGATGATGCAACAGCAGCTCTGAGCAAACAGCTGAAGCCACAGGCACCAGGTGCACCCCCTGCTCCAGCAAACACTGCACATCACCCCCAGGATGATGCTGAGCACCAAATGGGGCGGGAGGAAGGCACAGCACATGGAACAACCCCCAGGGTGCAACAGGAGACCCTCTCTGGTCATACTGGTCACAAGCTGTTTGAAGGAGACATGGAAGAAGGACCAGGCACAGCTCCAGATGTGCCACAGGCTGGTGCGTCCACGGGAGCTGGGCACCACAGGGCTCAGGAGCCAGAGCAGGGAGAGGAGGAACAAAGGATGTTATTCCCGCAAGGAAAGGGTGGTGGTGTGAAGGAGGCGATGCTAAAGGTGGCGGAGCATCTCCAGGGAGCACTGGGAGAGAACACGGAGGCAGGAGAGCAGGTCCTAATGGAGGTGGAGGGAGCAGGATGGATGCAGGAAAAAACAAGCTGGGAAAAGGCACGGCTCCTGGGAGAAGCTGAGGAAGTGGCATTAAGCCAGGGAGAAAACCTGGCGGCAGGTCTGGGGTCACCAGGGGCTGGGGAGGCAGGTCTGGGGTCACCAGGGGCTGGGGAGGCAGGTCTGGGGTCACCAGGGGCTGGGGAGGCAGGTCTGGGGTCACCAGGGGCTGGGGAGGCAGGTCTGGTTGTGCGACAGCGCCTTGGCATGGATGAGCTTCACCTAGCTGCACCTCAGCCCCTGGGCACGGGGCTGGGGGAAGAGGCTCAGCCACCACTGGGGCTCTCCAAGGAACTGGAAATGAAGCCAGGGGAGCTCCTGGAGCCAGAGCCACCACCGCAGGGTGAGGCACGAATAGGAGCAGCCCAGGGGCACAGTGTCCTTCCCGAGGTGACTGCGGCTCTTGGCCCCGGGATGCTGGAGCAAGATACTGTCAGGGCAGAGGTGAAGCTCCAGGGAGAGACCTTGGGTGCTGAGGTGCTGCCAGCCCAAGCTCAGCATGGAGCTGGAACCGAGGAAAGGGAGGTGCAAGTAGCCCAGGGAGAGTCTGCAAGGGGAGATGCAGAGCAGGGCAGGAGTGCCGGTGCAGGGGTGCCAGTGGTGCAGGAAGGGGGAGCAGGAGCAGATGTGCCACCGCTGGAGGCGCAGAGCAGCAGGGCCAACGTGCAGCTGCGGGCAGAGGTGGAGGCAGCTCTGCAGCCATGGGCTGAGCCTGGCTCCCTGGGGACAAAGCAGGGAGGGAGCGCGGCTCCAGATGTGCAGCCCCTGGAGGAGGGTGATCGACCAGAGCTAGGGCTGGGGGAGGACACGGGGGCTGCTGTGGTGCATGGCGAGGGTCCTTCCCCAGCAGAAATGTCTTTGGGGAGCCCAGCCCTGTGTGGGCTCTTCCCACTTAAGGCTCAGGCATTGGAAATGGTGGAGGCAAAGGACTCCTGGGCAGATATGCAGCTACATAGGAGTTCCAGTCCAGAAACACCCCAGGGAGAGGAGGGTCATACAGTGGTACATCTCCTGGAGGAGGATGAGGATGGTGCACAAGAGCAGGGTGAGCATGGGCTGCCACAGGAGCCTGTGCTTGATCCACAGGGAGCAGGATTTGGGCAGGGAGAGGAGCCGGCTGCAGGTGTGCAGCCACAAGAGGATGCTGAAAGCCTGGACAGGCTGGAGGACCAGAGCACTGGTGCAAGTGTGCAGATGCTTGCAGAGATGGATGAGGTCAAAGAGATCTCAGGCTGGAACACTGAAGGGGATCTGCAGCTGCTGAGTGAGGTCAGCTCCCTGGGTACGGAGCAGGGAGGTAGCGTGGTTCCAGGTGTGCAACCTCTGGATCAGGTCGATAAAGCAGAGTTAGTGGAATTGGAGGTAGAGGATTCCACAGCAAATGTAGAGCTGCATGGGGGTCCTAGTATTGAAACCCTCCATGGGGGTGAACACCATGCAGCCTTGCAGCTTGTGGAGGAGGATGAGGATGGGGAAGAGGGGCAGAGTGAGTGTGGGCTGCCACATGAGCCTATGCTTCACCCCAATGGAGTGGCCATCAGGCAGGGAGAGGGGGCTGCTGGAGGCATGCAGCCATGGGAGGAGGCTGAAAGCCTGGACAGCCTGGAGGACCAGAGCACTGATGCAAGTGTGCAGATGCTTGCAGAGATGGATGAGGTCAAAGTGACCCCAGGAGGCAGCACAGGGGCAGATCTGCAGCTCTGGAGCGAGGTCAGCTCCCCAGGGACAGAGCAGGGAGGGAGCGTATCTCCAGATGTGCCAGATGTGCAAACCCTGGATCAGGTTGATAAAGCAAAGTTAGTGGAAACGGAGGCAGAGGACTGGGCAGACATGGAGCTGCATGGGGGTCCCAGCCCAGAAACAGCCCAGGGACAGGGGGGGCATGCAGCCCTACATCACATGGAGGAGCCTGAGGATGGTGCACAAGAGCAGGGTAAGAGCGGGCTGCCCCAGGAGCCTGTGCTTCACCCCCATGGGGTGAGGCAGGGAGAGGGGGCTGGTGCGGGTGTGCAGCTCCATGCAGAGGCTGTAATCCTGGGCACACTGCAGGCTCAGAGCACTGCTGCCGATGTGCAGCCTCCTGCAGAAGTGGATGAGCTCGAAGTGACCCCCGAGGCAGATCAGCAGCTCCTGAGTGACGTCAGCTCCTTGGATACAGAGCAGGGAGGGAGCGTGGCTCCAGATGTGCAACCTCTGGATCAGGTCGATAGAGCAGAGTTACTGGAAACAGAGGCAGAGGACTGGGCAGAGATGGAGCTGCATGGGGGTCCCAGCCCAGAAACAGCCCAGGGAGGGGGGGACCATGCAGTCATGCAGCTTGTGGAAGAAGATGAGAATGGGGAAGAAGGGCAGGGTGAACACGGGCTGCAGCAGGAGTCTGTGCTTGATCTGCAGGGAGCAGGATTTGGGCAGGGAGAGGGGGCTGCTGCGGGTGTGCAGGCACAGGACAAGGCTGTAATCCTGGACGGGCTGGAGGCCCAGAGCACTGATACCAGTGTGCAGCCACTGACAGGGCCAGAGGAGCTCAGATCAAGCTCAGGAGGGAGCCCAGAGGCAAATGCGGGTGCAGCTGGGATGCAGGAAGGGGAGCAGAGCCACACTCCAGGCTCAGATGTAGCACACACTGCAGAAGGGTGTGGGGAAGCTGCCGGTGCTCATGTGTCCGCCCCAGCTGAGGCCACTTCGTATCCTGAGCGTGCCGCTGCTCCCAAGGCTCCTGGTGTGGAAGCAAAGCGGGGAGCACTCACTGGTCCTGATGGGCAGATCCTGGAGGATACCCAGACACTGGAACTACCACGGGGAGAGAGGGCTGCTGCAGAGAGGAGACCTCTGGATGGAGCTCAAGGTCTGGAAGAGGGGCAGGGAGAGAGGCTGGAGGCAGGGGTGAGGAGTTTAGTGGAAGCTCAGGCTCTAGGGCTAAAGCAGGGCCATGATGATGGCGCATCTGCACCAGCCTTCCCAGTCTTCAAGGTGCCATTACAGATCAGCACACTAAAGCTGGAAGCAATGATGCAGGAGGATGTTCTTGTTCCAGATGTGTGGCCGTTAGGTGCTTCAGGACAGGCAGCCCAAAGCGAGCTCCAGGAGCAGGTCTCAGCAGAGGCAGAGAAGCCACCACACGCGATGGAAACAGAGAAAGCAGCTGCTGGACCTGCTGAGCTTCCAAAACAAGAAGTGGCACCAGCATCGCCCCTTCACACAAGGGTCCTACAGGAGGAAGATGCTGGGAATGATCAGCTGGGGACAGTTCTTGGAGGCAGCTCACTGGGGGATGCAGCCAGCACGCAGCCTCAAAGGCAGTCGTTGGGAGAACAGAGCAAAGACCTCGATGTTGATCGATGGAAGAAGCAGGAGGTTGGAAGGAAAATGAGCCAGGAAGGAGAGCCAAGTCCAGGGGAGCCAGGGACTGTCACTGCAGATGGGGCAGGAGCTGCCCCAAGGGGTTCTCCTAAAGCCCCCCTGGACCCAGATCACCTCTACAATGTGCTGTTTGTCGGGGACTCCCATGTGGGCAAAACATCGTTCCTGTACCGGCTGCATGCTGACACCTTCAACCCGCACCTCACCGCCACCGTAGGTAGGTCTCCTCCAGCTTCTCTCCAGCACAGCTCTGCACCCACTTGGGTCTCTATTGCAATTCCCTTTCCTCCACCCCACAAGCTCCTGGTGATCATTTCAGGCATGTTACAGCTCACATCAGGTGTGCTACACAACCTGTCACCAAGGACCAAAAACAGGAGCGCTGACTTAACACACCTGTATGCTCTGCAGCAGGCGATGCTGGTCCTTGTTGCTCACTCTAGGGCACCAACACCAGTGTTCCTAGTGCTTTTCTCTCTGCTTGGCTTTCATTTCTATTCTCCTCTCTTAACCAACCTGGTTTTATTCATCATGAGATCAGAGACCTTCCCCAAACCCCAGCCATGAAGGATCTAAAAGCCAGAGGTTCACTTGAGACCAGTCCCCTTGTGCTGCAACCTTAGGTCATACCTGCACCATGTGCCTTCTCCATCCACCTCCTGTCCCAGGGATGAACTCTATAGTACAGAGATATCCCTTTTTGTGTCTCCTAGGACTGGATTATCAGGTGAAAAGCTTTGTCGTGGACAACAAGTGCTTTGCTCTCCGCCTGTGGGACTCAGCTGGTCAAGAAAGGTGAGTGCTGAGCTGTCTGCTTACAGAGAGCAACCTCTGGTGTTCCTCATTCTGGTAGTTTGGAGGATATGGATGTTCTTGGCTCTGCTAAGCAAAGGAGGGTTGTTTAAGGACAGACTCTGTACAGTACATGGTGTGATAGAGTGTAATAAAGGAAGTAATTAGGATAAAAATAAGCATCAGGCTGCTCGTGCTGACTCTACGATCAGCATAGGAGCAAAATCTGGGTTTGCCTTTTTTTATACACATTCTTTCCCATCGGGATTCCATATTTCTTCTAGGGAAAACCTCCCCAGACCATATCAATGACCATTTAAAATGCATGCAGGTACCACAGCATCACCAAGCAGTTCTTCCGGAAGGCGGATGGGGTTGTGCTGATGTACGATATCACATCCGAGTATTCCTTCTTGGACGTGCAGTACTGGCTGAGCTGCATCCAGGTGGGTGAAGCAGGAAAACCTCGTCCTGTCCCCAAGGTCTTGGAACTGGAGGTGACTCTGAGATCAGTGTTTTCTCCCCTTGACATCTGCCACTGGTTAGGGATGGACATCTTGGGGTGACCAAGCCCTTTGTAAAGAGCATTCTGCTTTGGTTTTGGTTAAAAATAGTTTTTCTTGGAGGATTTAAATTCAAATAGTGACAGTTTCACATTTTCCACATTTGTTTGCTAGGGTAATTTGTTAATAGTAACATGATGATAATGATCAACTTCAATTCAAAAGCACTGCAGAGGATTGAAAGTGATTTTGATAACACTTATAAATCAAGAATAGTCCCCTTTGAGTCCTGGGGAATAGGAGGTAACTCGTGTCTTATTACAAACTGCTTGCCAGAGATTTCCAATCAAGTACAAAATCAGTGTTTAAAAACACCAGAACAAAACAGGATGTCACCTTGCTCAGCCAGAGCATCTCTGGAGGGTTCCTGAAGTTGAACACAAAGTGGACTCATCCAATGCTCTGCCCTTTAATAGACCAGGTTAGATGATTTAATAGCAAAAATAAAATCCCTTTCTTAAATGCTGTTAAACTCATTTAAGAATTTAATGTTTTGGTATCAGCCCCAATCTGTGGGCATCCTTCACACTGCTCCAGGATGTGTCTAGACAGTGTGGCCGGCTGTGATTCAGGGGAGGTTGAGATGTGCTCCTGATCCTACCCTCTTTAACTGCCAGGAAGGAGCAGAAGATGGAGTCGCTATTCTGCTTCTTGGGAACAAAACTGACTGTGCTGCAGAGAGACAGGTCCCTATGGAGCAGGGGGAACGCCTGGCCAAGGTAGGTGCATGGCCCTGCTAAAGCATGTGTCCACCCAGGTTAGGCAAGGACAGCTAAGGGTGGATTCCACCAGCCTGGGGACACAGAGAAAGGCTAAAGTCCTTAACTTCCCCGTCATGCATTGGTCATCATAAAGGTGATCTCTGAACCCATCTTCCACCCTTCTCTGCCTTGCTTTCTCCTTGTCATCTTAGTTCTGACTCAGCATCACCCCAGTAAAACAGCTTATGGGGCTGGATCTATAAATGAAAATGTTTTCAGCTCTGCTTCTCTTTGCTGTGAAGTGTCACAGATCTTCCCAGCATCATGCGATTTATAAAACCACCAAATTATTCTGGTTTAATGATATGAAATGCTTAAAGTACAATTAACCTCTTCCAATAAAAAATTAGGTGAGAACAATCTCACCTTTACCAACTTAAATTTTATGGGATTTGGGCCAGTATCCAGTGACCAGTTTTCATAGAATCCCAGCCTGGTTTGGGTTGAAGGGACCTTAAAGCTCCTCCAGTTCCAACCCCTGCCACGGGCAGGGACCCCTTCCATAGAGCAGCTTGCTCCAAGCCCCTGTGTCCAACCTGGCCTTGAACACTGCCAGGGATGGGGCAGCCACAGCTTCTCTGGGCACCCTGTGCCAGCGCCTCAGCACCCTCACACGGAGAATTTACAGATTTCACAAATGAAGACAGCAGGACAAGGGATAGATGCTTTTTTTCCCCCAAAGCAGTCACTGGCAGGCACAAAAGACCTGGGAACATGCAGTTACATCTCAGTATTTGCTCCACTAACCAGAGGGCATCACATCACATTCTGTCCGCCTTTTCCTTGGTATTAAAAGTCGGTGTTGCAGCTACCAGAAAAGCTGGATTTCACCCTCATATTCCTGTAAATAAGTTACTGAGTCATTTGTTTCCTTGAGTCCCTCCTATTTCCCCTGTGATTGTCCTGTGGCTATTACTCATTTACTCCCATATTAAGCTATTCAAGTGTAAGAATATTACATTTCTATGTGTGCTCTGTGTCTTGAAGGAGCATCAGCTCATGTTTTACGAATGCAGTGCTGCCTCGGGCCACAACATCTCCGAGTCCATGGTCAGCTTGATCAGGTGAGGTGTGCGCTTGGATTTTGCCAGCTCTCCTGATTTTAATGGGCTCCCTCGCTACCTTTTTAACCCCAAATGCTGGTGGGTTTGTGTCACCGGAGACTCCATGTGCCCAAATATCAGGGAAAACTCAGAACAGCATGTGCATGGCTGGGGTGAGGTGCAGGTTAAGTGCTGAAAGATGTGTCCTGAATTAGTAAGAGATCAATAAAACCCTTTTCAGGATGCTGCTGATTTCTCTCTTGGTTGACAGACAATAAATTCTCTCTGTGGCTTGATTTAGGGTGGCTTTTTTAGCAGAGTCCATGGTACTCAAATCATGCTGAGCTGGAAGGCTCCTAACGCCTTTCATTTGTGCCAAGCCCCCTTTGACAACGCTTGTCAAGACAAAGAGCACAGAAATACAAAATATGGGAGAAATATTTGACTAATTTGCTTCCTTTTCTCCCAGGTTGCTCAAAGTGAATGAGGATAAACTGAAAAATAAGGCAGAAGAGGTACCAAAGCTACCTCAGAAGAAAAAGAGCTGCTGCTGGTGATGGAGAGACCCCCCCATGTGATCTGAAACTGCAGTGACAGACAGAAAAGCACAAAAATAGCCTTCAGACACCATCTCTGCTCCCCATGTGTCTGCCTGGCCCCATGTCCCTCAGATGCTGAGAGCAAAAGTCGCTGTGGAGGAGTGGCTGTTACCCAGCCCCTTCTCTGCTCATCTCCTGCCACCATCCCAGAGGACAGGAGCCCTTGTAAATACTTGTTGGGAAACTTTACTGCTTTCTTTTGAAGACATAAAATGGGCTATGGAAAGAGGCAGAATAGGAAATTAGACAGATCTGAGATGCTGGAATGATATTGGAAGCAGCAGGGAGCAAAACCGAGTCGTGGGATGGAAGACATGAATACCAGGAGTCACCAAAGGCTGGTGTGTAAAACAGGGGGTTTAGGGCTGTTGGTGCTGCTGTGTGGTGGTGTCTTTTGCTCTGGCTTTGCAATCTGATCTGGAACAATGAAATATGGAATATATCCTAAATGCACTTTTAACTCCCTGCAGTTAGGCAAGGTAAAGTTAAGTTTTTCTCTTTCCTGGTTTATTGTGCCAGTTAGCAGCAATGGGTCTTGACAGAAAACTGCTAAAAACTGCTTAAAACAAATGTAAAACCTCCAAAACCACATCCAGGATAATAAAAAGAGCACTGGGGTGGTGGGATGTGGGAGCAGGTAAATGCTTGCAGGAGCTCTTTTCATTGCTTTGCCCCCAGAGCAGGTATTTGCACTATTGCAGATCTCAGGGTGAGGAGGGCAGAGCAAGCTGCTGCACCCTGCCCTTCTGCACTGAGGTGGCTGCTGTATGAAGTACTGAATTGGGGTCAAAAAGAAAACCCAGTGCGAAAAACCTAAACAAGCACATTTCAAGGGGGTTTTAATTATTTTTTTTTCTACAGCTTCATGCAGAGAACTGTATTTTTTGCAGAGAAAGACATAGAGACTGAATAAATAAAATGACAATTGTTGTGTTTTAATGGTTTTCTGTGTTACAGGTGTTGCCTTGTCCTCCAGCAAGGAGAGGTATTTAAAGACCATGCTTTCATGCAGATTTGGGGGAAAATAGTTCTGCTCAGATGGGTTTGCCTTTCGTTGACATTATTATCTATATATACATTATGGCAGAGCAGAATAGCAGCCAGTTTCTGCTTTATAACAATACAGTGACAAGAAGCGTTGGTTTCCTAATAACACTATATGCTAAAGAAAAGGATATCATTCTGCATGTTTCTGACTGTTATAGCCCAGCTTTCCCAGGAAACAAGGCTTAGGAGCTCCTGCTGCCCGTGTATGTGTACCTGTTGGTACAAAAGTCCCTGGTGAGGAGCAATTGCAAAGCTCTGAGATGCTGTGACTTGTGTGAATAAAGGCCTGAGTAACTGAGACTAATTAATACCCCCATTGATGGAAAAAATGCAGTTTAAGTTTAGTCTCTATCATGACAAATCTCCATGGGAGAGACCTGCAGGGCACAGAGCCAGGTGAGAGCAGACCTTCTTGGTTCTGCGGCTCACAGAATTACCTCTTCAAAATGGGCCAGCTCTGTGTGATACCCGAAAGTCCTCAGTGGAAACGACGCTGATTTCTAGATGGAGATGGACCAAGCTCATGCTTGGAAAGATCAGGGTTATGAGCTTCTCCAGGTAGGGTACAACTTTGCAGTGATGCAGGAACTGAGGAGTCATTTTGAGATGAGTTATCTCCTCTGCTTGCCCCATCTCAGTGTTACCTCTGCACTACTGAAGCTCCCATCCCATCCCCTAAATGTCTTTGGGATTTGGGTCTAGGCTGCTCCTAATCAAAAGCCAACATCCCTTGGCTCTGTTGTCGAAAGACCCTCTTTTCTTAATGCAATATATTTACACCCCCATTCCATATCAGTCTTTACCATATTTCATTATTGAGATATTTTACTGATGGAGAAGTGGGAGCAGCCTGAAGATCACAGCTCCTCAGGAAGAGTTCCTCAGCTGAGAGCTGTGCCTGGGTTCAGTATCTGGGGGATCTTTCTGGCTTTTTTTTTTTTTAACTGGTGTTTGGGCCCATCTTCACTATTTCTGCTTTGCTGGTTTGTCTTTAAATAATGTAATTCCAAGCACACTTTGCCAAGGCTGAATTCGTACAGTCCCAGACTGGTTTGGGTTGAAGGGACCTTAAAGCTCCTCCAGCTCCAACCCCTGCCACGGGCAGGGACCCCTTCCATAGAGCAGCTTGCTCCAAGCCCGTGTCCAACCTGGCCTTGAACACTGCCAGGGATGGGGCAGCCACAGCTTCTCTGGGCACCCTGTGCCAGCGCCTCAGCACCCTCACAGGGAAGAGCTTGTGCCTAAGAGCTCATCTCAGTCTCCCATGTCTCAACCTGATTCTCCCATTAGATGGCAGCAAATGCAGCAACACCTTCCAACTGCAACACTGCTTCTGCAAAGAAAGAAACAAGGAGCTTGGAAAGGGCCCAGAAGAAAGATCTGCGAAACAAAAGCTTCCCAGAACAGCAAACAGAAAGAAACGTCGGTCTAATTCCACTAGAAATTACAGACTGAGTTTGTGCCCAAAGCATAAAACAAGTGTTAACTCCACTCCAGAGCTCCCCTCCAAACCTGAAAATGGATTTTTCATTGCCAGGTTGAGAGAAATGCCAGGAAGGCGATAAAGGATATTGGGAAGTATGGCCAGGGCGTTGCATTTGCAAGCATCTTTCACCTTTAATAATTCATAATCCCAGTAAACTTTCCCACTCCAGAATCCAATGGACCGCTCCTCTGCAAGCTGTTAAACGCATGCATGAGCGTTTGGAGGAAGATCAAGGGCTGAGATATTAATAGCAAGAGGGAAATGCATGTTTGTTTGGACCACAGGAATTCTGGTTTAAAATCGGGCTGCTTCCCTTCGAGCCATTTGTAATTGCTTGAGGCACTCCACAGGAATTAGAGCAGCTGCCCCAGCCAAACCCAGGTTCAGAAGATCTCGGATACCAGCCCAAGCTCAGCGGGCGTTTGCCACCATCTCACTTTGATGCTTCCACTTTGAAAGCAGAGAACCCAGACGAGCTCTTAAGTCAGAACAAATCATCAGCCAAAGCTTCCAGTGTCCCAGCCCCTGGGTTTCGGGTCTCACCCAACAGCGTCTCCTGAATTTCCCCCCATTCCCCTTGAAAGGCAGGGAAATCAGGATGCGGAGAGCATCGCGCTTCCCGCGCTGGGATGGACGGGGCAGGAAGTTCAAACCTGATCAGAGGAAGTACTTCTTCTCGCAGTGTTTAACTCAACTGCAGAATTCATCACTGCAGGAAGTTGTTGAGGCCAAGAACTTAAACAAGGCTCCAAAGGGACTGGGGAGATACCAGAAAAAACCCTCACAGCCACAACCAACTGCCGACTGAAAATGCATTTAACTGCAGTTAAGGACTGAAGCCCATATCGGGGGGCTGGGTAAGGCTGAGACCCCTCAATCCTCATTTCTTCCAAGCTTTTCATGTCAGGGGTGGCTTTGGAGACCTCCTCTTGCTCCATCCGCCAGCCCTTTACTTCTGCAGGCCTTTCCCATACATTTTAGGGTTTTCCCATGCTTTTTAGTGGGTTAACACCCTGTGCACGGTCACCACTTGTCACTGAGCTGTGGGAATGGACACCCATGTCCCCAAGGGGCTGGGTAAGCGGGGCTTGGGGGGCACTGGCTGGGTCTGTTGGGGAGCACAAAGGCAGCTCAGCAGAGCTGGAGGAGGTAAATGGGCCCGGTGGGGCTGCTGTAGGGTTTGGGAGGGTGTAAGGGCTGAGGGGTGGGTGCTGTGGATGGATGTTGGGGGGTAGAGAGGTGTCATGGGTGCTGTGGATCTGGCTATGAAAGGCATTGGAGGTGCTGGGGGGGTCTCAGGGGTGCTGGGGTGGGGGGTGTCTGAAGGTGCTGATTTAGGTCTGAGGATGCTGAGGACTTAGTTTTGGGGGGTCTTTTGGTAATGTGGGAGGTCAGACAGGTGCTGGGGGGGTCTCAAGGTGATCATGGGCTCAGGTGGGTGCTGGGGGGGGTGTGACTTGGGGCTCCTGGGGGGGTCTCAGGGTGGTCAGGCTGGTGCTGGGGGTTCAGGGGTGTGTGTGGGGTCTGATGGTGTTGGGGGTTCAGGCAGGGGCTGGGGGGTGTTGAGGGTACCCATGGACTCAGGTGGGTGCTGGGCGGGGTGCGTTAGGGTGCTGCGGGCTCCGGTGGGTGTTGGGGGTGTCTGTGGGCAATGGGAGGGGGTCAGGTTGGTGCTGGGGGAGTTAAGGGTGGCCTTGGGCTCAGGTAAGTGCTGGGGGGTGCCGCAGGGATACGGGGCCGGGGGTCCCCGTGTTCTGGGCTTAAACGGGAGCTGGGCATTGCAGGGGAACTCTGGGCTCCGGTGGGTGCTGGGGGGGTGTCTCAGGCCCACGGGGGAGCGGGTACCTGGGTGCTGGGGGGGTCTTCAGTGCCGCCGGGGGTGGCTCTGGGGGCGCTGGGCCGGGCCGGGCCATGGCGGAAGCAGGAAGCGGCGGCCCGGCCCCCGCGTCCCGCCTCCATCGCGGGCGGGAGGAGCCCGGAGCCGGGCGGCGGAGCGGGGCAGCCGCCGGGCGGTGCCGGGGTGAGGCCGGGGGCGGCTGAGGAGGGGGGACGGGGCGGGGGTCCGGGAAGGGGGGGGGGGGGTGCCCGGAGCAGCGGGCACGGCCGGGCCTCGGCCCCTCACTGCGGGCCCGGGCCTGGGGGGGCTCCCGGGCCTCAGCGAGGCGCTCGGCAGGCGCCCGGCGGTGGCGGTGGGCGCTGGTTTTTGCTCCAGTTTATTGACTTGCAAAGCAATGTAATCATCCCGGCTGGAGCTGCCGCTTGAGAGGAGCGAGGGCGCTCCCGGGGCCCGTCCCTTTCCGCAGGGCTTGAGGCTGGGACCTGAGCCCCCGAGCAGGGCTGAGGGAGGCCGCGCAAGCGGTGCTGAAGCAGGGGCCGGATCCTTTTTGCGTCGCTGTTTCAGGTGCAGCAGCAAGGCGAGCACCGTTCCCTTCTAACGACTCCCCCGACAGCACTGCTCTCTAAATACTCATCTTTGCAAAGCCTGGCTCTGAACACCCAGCACACATCGGGGCCAAGAGCCGGGCCCTTGCGTGGAAACCCTCCAGGCTGAGAGCTGCTGCTGCTTATGTGTGTGGAGAGCTGCTTATTCCTGCCAGGGTGGTGGAGTCCATAAGGGAATACGATAGCAGATGGGTGCCTGAGTTGAAGAGGCCTGGCTCTGAGGGGCTGCTGTTTGCAAGGGATAAGGCTCGCTCAGTGTGTGTGTGTGATGGTGAAGAGGGTACAGTAGTCTGTTGTTATTATTTTGTCGGCTGTATTGTGGCGATAGGAAGGGAAATAATAGGTTTTTATTTGGTTTTTAAGGCCTCATCTGTTCTCAAAACAATGTGGGAGCGTAATGCCTGGTTTCCTAGCTGAAGACGTGGGTTACTTTTGAGTTTGTCAAGGGGCTGTGCTGGGTTTTTAGCGTCTGTGACTTGCAGGGATTGAATACAAAGGTGTTGCTCAGGGTTGAATACAAAGGTAGAGGTGGGAGAAGCGGGATGTATCTCAGCATTTCATCACCGTAGGTAGGATGTTTCTGCTGTTCGGAAAGGGGGAAATCACTGTGCTTGGCACCATTTCTGTATGGGATGATTGTTTCAAGAGCAGGCAGACCTTGCATGCTGGAAGCTTGTGAAATCTGCCGGAATTCCACACGGGAGAGCTTCACAGGCGAAAGCTTTGGCACACGACAGCCAGAGGAAGCTAGATAACCCCGCAGACCAGTTAGAAGGCCAGCTGCAGTGTCAAGGCAACTAGAGTAATCGCAAAAGCTTGGAGGGGGAAGAGGACGTTAAATATCCCGCAGATGTGCTGGCCCCTGCTTGTTGTGTCAATCACGGCATTACATGAACGGAGGAGAAAAGCAATGCATTGTTTTACAGAGTCAAGTGCACGCCAGGTGCTTTACAGGCAAGAAGAAAAGGTCCCTGTCTCGGAGAATTTAGGATCCAACCTGCTTTGGGGCAGCTTTGGTAGCCCATGGGGCCGCTCAGGTGGGAAGATCTGGGACAAATATTTGTGTGGAACGCAAGGAATGTCGGTAGCTCATTAACCTGGCAAAGCAGTGCGGCATGTTCTCCTTGCCTGCTTGGGGTTAGGTTTTAATTTGGCATTTTACTCTCCTGGCCTTTCTAAGGCTGTGGCTAGAAATCTAGCGCTAATGTGAATACAACATCTGACACGAACGGCTTGAGTTGGGTGCTCAGGCTGCTGCTGGCCGAACAAATGGGTTCTTTTGCAGGCATATCATTTTTCTGATCTGATTCACCATGGGATCGTATAAACAAATGTGCAGAAGCAGAACAGGGAGTTGATCGGGGGGGCTGGGGGAGGGGAAGCAGTTGCTGAAGCTGGTAGCCCTGTTGAAAAGTGGGTTTGGTTTTTAATGAGAGTACCTAGCATCGCAGGAAAAAAGGTATTAAAAATGCTGTTGTTTGGGTTCTGACTTGTAGGAACCCATGGTTTAGGGGTGGAGCTGTCCTCCAGTTTTTTAAAGGCAAATAATATTTCAAGTTTGGTTGCCAAACAAGAGAATCTTAGTTCTTGATGTATATACATATATACATTTATGGCTGGTTTGTGCTGTGGGAGCAGTCAGAGCAACTTACAGCACAGCAAATTGAAGTTTGGTAGCAGTTATGCAGCACTTGTCAGCTTGTTCTCAAGCGAGCCGAATGGATCTGTGCTTTTGAAATGCTGTGCTGTGAGGTATGTGCAGAGCAGACCCATGCAGGTAGTTATACAGTTCCCATGGTGCAGTAACAGGCTTCACTGAGCAAGTTGGTGAATTGGGTGAAGCTGCACAATGTGTTCACGAGATGGCTCCTGGTGTGAGGTAGTATTTAGAGTAAAAGGGGGACAGGGGCCTGATTTCCATTTTCAGCAGTGAGCTGGGTGTATGAATCATGTATATCATCAGATGTAAGGCAGAAGCTCTTCCCTGTGAAGGTGCTAAGGCGCTGGCACAGGGTGCCCAGAGAAGCTGTGGCTGCTCCATCCCTGGCAGTGTTCAAGGGCAGGTTGGACACAGGGGCTTGGAGCAAGCTGCTCTATGGAAGGGGTCCCTGCCCATGGCAGGGGCTGGAGCTGGAGCTGGATGAGCTTTAAGGTCCCTTCCAACACAAACCAGTCTGGGATTCTGTGCTGCTTGTGTTTTTACATGCTGGTCCTCAGCCTGAGCTTTGAGGGCAATGCCTTGCTAAACTCTGCTCCCCAGAAAGTTTCTGTTGTCCCAGTTTGATCAGGTTCAGATTTTCCCAGCTCAGAAACAAGAGGCAAAACAAGACCTCGCACATGCTCCTTTCCCCAGCAGTGTTTTTCCAAAGCAAAATGTCTCTCTAACAATGGGATCCTCCCGTTGGTGGCTATTAGCCTGTCCAGCAGTTTCTTTGCATCTTTTCTTCAGCCCATCTGCTGTTCTTGGTGCCACGACGCTCTGCCTTTGTGGCACATGAGGAGGGGAATGGTAGAGGAACTCATTTCTTATTTTGGCATCTAAATATTGATTGCTCATAGATGTGTTCCTACAAGCTTCATGGTGGGAAATAACTTGCTGTCAAATGGTTCTTTGTCTCTGTCTTGGATTCACAATGCAATTCCTGCTGCATTTCTGCATGTGAACGTCCTGCAGGCAAACTCAGAGGGGCCCAAGAGCTTTCACTGCCTGCAGAGCATGCTGCTATCATGTTACCGTTACTCAATAATCAGTTGGCTTGGACATAAGGTTGCAAAAATGGAGACAAATTTTAAATTGTTGAACTTTGCCCCATACGTATTGTTTATTTCCCTCTCCTGGTCCTATTGCTGACAGGGGATTTAATGAAAACAAATCTATGTTAGACTAAGCGACTAACATTGCGCTGCAGGAGAGCTTAGCTTGGCTGCTGTGTGTGACGATCGGCTTTGTATAGCTGGCTTTTGTACTTGGTGAGCAATCACTTTATAGGATGGATTCATTTGGAATAGATGAATAACTGGAGTTTCATTGATTTCTGGGAAGCTTTGTTCATTTACATAAGCTGCGGATCTCAGGCAGTTCTGCTCTTGTCAGGAAATTTCATGGCTTCTTTAGGTCCCTGGGAGATACAGGACGAGCAGAGATTGTTGGGACTGCAGCTAAATGGTGTGCCTTTAGCTGTGAAGAGGTTTCTTGCTTGGGCATTGGGGTGTTCCTGTGATTTCTCTGCACATGCTGGTGCTGAGCTGTGCAGCTGCAGTGTGTTTTCTGTTAACGTACTGGATCTCTCCACAGGGATTTTTCATCGGAGGCCATGGAGCTTTTGTCCAACGAGCTCAGCATTTATGACAAGCTCTCAGAGACGATTGATCTAGTGAGGCAGACTGGCCACCAGTGTGGGATGTCAGAAAAAGCCATTGAGAAATTCATCAGGCAGCTCTTGGAAAGGAATGAACCCCAAAGGGGACCTCCGCGGTATCCTGTCTTAGTGGCTCTCTACAAGGTAAGATGGAGAGGGATTCTTCATTAGGGACTGTAGCGATAGGACAAGGGGTGATGGGTTTAAACTGAAAAAAGGGGAAATTCAGGTTAGATACAAGGCAGAAGCTCTTCCCTGTGAGGGTGCTGAGGCGCTGGCACAGGGTGCCCAGAGAAGTGGTAAATGCTCCATTCCTGGCAGTGTTCAAGGCCAGGTTGGACAGAGCCCTGGGTGACATGGTGTAGTGTGAGGTGCCCATGGCAGGGGGGGTGGAACTTGATGATCTTAAAGTCCTTTCCTACTTAAACCATCCTATGATTCCATGTCTTTTGTGCATGCACAGACCATTTGAGGGTTGGAGTTCTCCTTTTGCACCTGAGCCTTTCACTTCCCATTGCATTTTCTTGATGAATTTTCCCAAGTTCTTAATTTAAAAAGCTGTGAAGTGCAGCTTCCTGCATCCCTTGAGCTGGTTTGAAGGCAGAAGGCAGCTGACTGAGCTTTGAAATTGCTCATGTGTGCTGAAAATTTAACATGTCAACACCTTCCTCTCCTGAAATTATTAAAGAATGAGACTTGCATTGATCCTTCAGGCAAAGATTCCCAGTGTCAGCACCCTCAGAGGAAGTGTGAGGAAGGAAGGAAGGAAATTCAGGGTTGAATAATGAAGAGATACAGATTCTGTTTCTGACCCTATCACAAGCTTCTACCTGTCTTTATTCTCCTTCTAGTCTATAAATTAAACCTGTTGCCTTGCTGCTCAGTGCTAGAAAAATGTTTGAGGCGCTTAACTAAAAGATGCTGTGAAAAGCTCTGCAAAGTGGGTGAAAGGATGCTGCTGTTGGCTAGGTTTGAGCTGTTTGCTGCAACAAGGATGACAACCTTCCCACTGGTGTAATATCCAGTAATATTTTAGTGTTGCCTTTAAATCCACTCAGTGGTTTCTATTAAAAAAAAATCAAACTTTCTTCCTCACATCCTATAGAAGGCTGTAAAATAAGGCAGGAAACTGATAACTTGAACTTTCAGCTTCTGTTCTTGTTTTTGTTGTAGGTTCACTTTGACTTTGGCTGGGGAGTTGAGAAATGTGTCATGTCGTCTCTTTAAGGCTTATTTGGGATTGTGATATGGAGGAGGGAGTGGTGCCAACTCTGCCAAAGTGGTTTGAGGCTTGACGAATGTTTGCACAAAGCCTTGAAAACCTTGTGCAAGAGGGGAGGCAGCAGTGCAAAGAGGGGTGGCAGCAGTGCAAAGAGGGATGGCAGTAGTGCCAGCTTTGATCTAAGCAGGTTGGAGGAATGGGAACTGTTTGTAGATAATCCTCATTGCTCTGGTGCTGGCTTACAGTGCTAAAATCCACGAACACAGTTGTGTAGCTGGGGTTTGAAGGCTGCTTAATTTCGTCCTTGGACAGCCCTACCAATAAAACAAGAGTGACAACTCTGTGTACATAAATAGCACTGCAGTTGAATGAGCAGCCACAGCAAAAAATTGGAGTGTTCATCTTATGGTGCACAGCCACAACCCTTTGATAGCAGCCAGAGGTGTGTCCTGTTCTGAAGATGCATCTGCTGGCTGCACTGTGATAAATTCTGTGCCTGTTTTCTCTCTTAGGGCCTGCTCACCCTGGGACTGGTGCTGCTGACTGTTTACTTTGTGATCCAGCCATACAGCCCGCTGCCGCCTGAAGCTCCGCTCTCCAGAGCCCATGCCTGGGGCTCCCTCATCGGTCACATCCGGCTGCTCTCTCTGCCTATTGCCAAGAAGTACATGCTTGAGAGTAAGGAAATGATTTCTCTGCTCTAACATAAGCCTCACAAGAAATACCAAGTGAAATATCAGCCATAAAAATCGTTTGAGTGTCTCCCTGAGCACCCAATAACAAATGTGTTACTGGCATGGCACCATGGTTTTCTCTCTTCCTACCACTGTACTTAAAAATAGCAATCTGAATTCTAGCTAGGGCTCTTTTCCTTCCATTCACTGAGGTATATTTGATCTCTGCCTTCATCATTTTGTTCTTGCACATTCCCTTTTCCCTGCTTTTCTTTACCTCAGGGTTTTTTCTTCCACAAGAGTTCCCCTTCCTCTAAAAATCTCTGCAGTTCAGAGAATCTGAGATAGTTATGCTGGGTAAATGTCACCCTTTCTATTTCTTTTTCTAAGTAAGCAAACAAAACCACTTTATCAACCAGATCTTGATACCTGTGAGCAAAGGGTAGAAACCTCAGCATGTGACCCGGGTTTAAGGAAAAGTAGTTTTTGCCAAGTGGAGTATTGGGAAAGGACTGTGGGCTTGAGAGCCAGTGTTTATAGCAGTTAATGTAGGATTAAGGGTAATGTGTGCGTGTGAGGAAGGGAGATAAGCAGCTCCCTATTGAGGTGGACACATCATGGGACAGGAACAGAATAGATTTTCCTAGACTGGTGTAATAGAAATGGAAAAGTTTGAGTATTTCTTGTTCTCAGTTAATCATTTCCACTGACTGAGGCTGGCAAAGGGGTGTGAGCCTGGGCTCAGCCTCTCTGATAAAACACAAAGACTGTCAGTAATGATAAAGCTGTGAATTATTTTGGGCAGAGATGTGGCACAATGTTGATCCTCTCGCAGCTCACTGTAAAAACAAACTCCTGTTTCCATGCCCTCCAAGGGTTTATATTTAGCTTGGGCAGCTCATTGTGTTAGAGTTGTCTGGGCTGGCTCTGACCTTCCTGCTGGAGCTAAAAAGGGCTCCCTGAAGTGCTGGCGCTGTTCTGTGCTTTCTCTTGTGTCTCCCTCTCTTCCGCTGACATGTGGGATTGCTGTTGATTCGGGTTGTAGGGGTGGGATGGGGTATCCCCATTGTTCCTCTCCTTCCTTATACACTGGGATCTCTCACAGGGAGGAAAAAACAAAGGCAAGGAGATGGCTGATAGCCACTTGACATTACTAGCCTGCTTATTTACTCCATGTCAGCATTGACACAAGTGAACACCCCTCCACTTCTGTATGGGGAGGCAAATCAATGGGCACTTTAATGCTTGTATTTGTTCAGTGGAATTTTGTGGAGAAAGCTGACAGGTTCTTCCTTCAGATGCTGCAGAGCGCCCTTGGATGGGAAGAGCCCAGGGAGGTTCCTTGGGACAGCAGGATGGATGGAGAGGAAGGATGCAAGGTTGTTTAAATGTATATAAAATCCCTCATGCCTCCATGAGTCCTGGAACTCTTCTGAAGTGATGAGCAAGAGGGTGGGCAGCAAGCCAGCCCTGGGGAAATGAGGGGACAAGGCAGTTCCCACTCTGTTTTTCCAACAGTATTGGGTTGCATGGAAAACACAGCATGTCCCAGTTAACAGATTTGCTTGGGATGGCTGGGGTGACTTTGGTCCCGCCTCAGCAAAAGGAGCTGGGCTAGTCCCTGGCTAGTGGAATGGAAGTGCAGCACCCAGCCTGAACCTTGGCTGGGTTCCTGTGGGAATCCCTCATGTGCCGGCTTCTTGCAGGGAGCTGCAGCCACCAGGGCTGTCCCAGTGTCCGGCTGTCCCAGCAGCACTGGTGTCAGCTTCACAGCTTGCATCCCGCAGGGAGCTGGAAGAGGGAGCTTCATGTCATGGGGCTGAGTGATCTCCCAAGCTCTCTTTCAGCCCTGCCTTGTGTATAATGAAATATTTTGCCCTTAATTTTGGCTTTTTCTGCTGAAGGGAAGGGGTAAAGCTACATCTTGCCATCCTGTTTGTTAATGTGAGCATAAGGCTGGGAAGGTACCAGGGGCTGAACCAGACCTCAATGGCCACAATCACAGGATCACCAGACAACCTTTCTTCATGGGAATCTCCAGAAGCAGAGGTGGACACTGGAGAGCCTGTTAGCCCCTTAACTACAGAGGATCCAGCCTTGTTAGAAAGCATGGGCACAGTCTTCAGCCCCAACTCGGTCCCAGAAACAAAGGTGTCAAAGAGGACAGGTTCTCCTGCACAGGAGAAGGCACTGTGCAAGAGACTGAACAGCAGAGAAAACTGCTAAGAAAGGACTCGCTGTACAGACTCCTCTTCCTTTCTCTGTGTCGATCCTGGGAGATGAAGATTCTGAGGGGGCTGAGGATTAAACTTGGAGCTTTCTGCGCTTGGGCACCAGTTCAAATCCAGCTTGAGCTGTTCTTGTTGAAAGCCTCCTGGTAGCAGTTTGAAGGCTGCCTTGGCCCACCGGCAGTGCTGGCAGACATCCCTGGCCACTCAGCTCGGTATGGACAGAGCCCAGCCGTAGTGAGTGTGGGCACATGGGTGGTCCAGTTCACTTCCTCCAAGTGCCTGAGCAGGCAGGGGCAGTGGCCTGGGGCTGTGCTATCCCTCCTGAGCCTGCTCAGGCTTGGAGCAGCTTTCCTGTCTCCAGGATTGCAGGATGGAGCCGGTTCCCCTGGTAGGTGTGGGCAGAGCAGCCAGGTTTGTGTTGCAGAACAAGGGGAGCTCGGATACCTGGTTTCCTCCAGGAGGCAAAGCTCCATGTTAGAGTGATGGTTAGGCTTTGGGAAGAGCAGGGCTGCAGGATTCTGCTCCCCTTTCCCTCCAGCTCAGGGTGATCTGCCTTCACTCTCACCTTCACCCTCATCCCTTCCACCCCAAGAGCCATGCTGTGGATGACGAGGGCTGTCTGTCGGTAGCTGTGGGTGGATCTTTGAGCAGCTGAGGTGAGAGTGCTTTGTGGACACTGCTCCTCTTGTGTTAAGTTTGTAGGATTAGGTCCAAAGTAAATTTCCTTTTTGCCTGTCTCTTTGCTCTGTTGTTTGCTGCTTTCTCCCCCGGATCAATTCTCATGTTAAAACTAATGTTCCTGCCCTTTGTTTCTTCAAAGCTGACTCTTGGACCCTTGGGTTTGGAGTTTGTGTCTCTCTTTCAGCTGTTTTCCCAGGACTAGGGATCGAGGTCCCTTTGGCTGGGGAAGAGTTTTTGTGGAAATGTGGTTTGCATTTGCTCTTCCGGAGCTTGTGTTTGCACAGAGCTTGTGAGAGCCCCAGTGCTGGGTCCCACTGCCTGCTCCGGGCTGGGAAAGCACCTCATGCCACTGCAGCATGCAGGGTGAGCCGGGTGGATCAGTGCTTCACATACACTCAGGGACATGATGAGTTTGCAGATCTCAAGGGTTTACTTGCTGTAAGGAACACTGGATTTTGAGTGGGCATATGGGTTAACTCAAGGCTTTCTAGTGCTGTTGGAAGGAGAAAGTAGGCCTATGTAAGCTGGAATCTTTGCTCTGACACAGGCTGACAAATCATAGAATGATTAGGGTTGGAATGGAAAGGACTTTTAAGATTGGTGATCCTGCCCCTCTGCTCTCATGAGACCCCCGCTTGCAGCACTGGGTGCAGTTCTGGTGTCCCAACATAAGAAGGACATGGAGCTGTTGGAGCAAGTCCAGAGGAGTCCACAAGGATGATCAGGAGCTGGAGCACCTCCCACAGGGAGCCAGGCTGAGAACATTGGGGCTGTTCAGCCTGGAGAAGAGAAGCTGCATGGAGACGTCAGAGCAGCTTCCAGTGTCTGAAGGGGGCTCCAAGGATGCTGGAGAGGGACTCTTCATTAGGGACTGTAGCGATAGGACAAGGGGTGATGGGTTCAGACTGAAACAGGGGAAGTTCAGGTTGGATCTAAGGAAGAAGTTCTTCCCTGTGAGTGTGGTGAGGCCCTGGAACAGGCTGCCCAAAGAAGTGGTAAATGCTTCATCCATGGCAGTGCTCAAGGCCAGCTTGGATAGAGCTTTGGGTGACACGGTCTGGTGTGAGGCATCCCTGCCCATGGCATTCCCTCTGTGTTTCAGTTCTCCGGTGCAAAGTAGGGGTACAACTACTTCCCTCTCCCCTGAAAGCATTGGGAAGAAATATAATGAGGTCCCAAAGTCTGTAGTAATCGGAGCCAAATGAAAAGGGATTTTCTCTTTCTAGTAATAGAAATTTTCAAACCACAGTAGTGGTTACTCTGTTCTCCAAAGGTTCTTCACTTCACAGCTCTGTGGCGTGCTTCTAGCTTTCTCAATATATAAAGCTGAGTTTTGGTGTTGGCTGGTTGATGACTGTTCCCTGCCAGCCACACAGAGCAGTGACATTATGAGCAGACCCTGAAGTTGCTCTCACATTAACTTCTGTGTCTGCCTGTGGTTAAGTTCACTCCATGCAGCTCAGCAGAGCAGGTCATGGGTGGTGAGCAGGCTTTCATCCAACAACGTGACAGTCTCCACGTGTATTGATAGACGGGTTTGTAATGACCTTGAAGAAAATACAACTTTGCTTCTAATAATGCGCCCTGGTCCTGACCACGTACGCTGCACTGCTCAAAATCAACTGGATCAGTAGCTGCTCAGCACACCTCAAATCAGACACAAGCACACATGTATCTCAGTGTTGTGCAAGTTCCCCCCAGCTTGGAGAAGGTTCCTTATATTAAATATCCCTTTTTGCCTGGACCAGTAGGGCTAAAACTGTGTTTATGGGATTTATATATCTATTTTGGAGAAAACGGCTGTGGAGGACCAGTGTTGAAGCAGCACCTTGTGAATGGTCTGTGACTGTCACATCAGGGGCCTGGTGGGCGTGAGAGCTGTTTGTTGGGGACAGGTCACAGGAGGCTGGGTTACAGGGAGAGGACAGCAGCCTCTGCCTCTTGGCTGGCCACCTTCAGTTCAGCTGAAGGCTTGCCTTGGCCCCTGGCCAGGTCCTGTCTTCTTTCTGATCTTAACCCCTTGCAGGCAGCCACGTTTCTCTCTGCTTCTCACGCTCCTCCCCTCTTGCTGCAGCCCTGCAGTGTTTATCCT